ACCAGACTACCCTATATCTAGTAAATGCTAGAGCATTCGCCAAGGTACAGGATAGTTCTAGAAATCAGAGGGCGTGAGTCACATGATCTCGCTGACGCAACAATATCAATAAAGCCAGGCTGTTCACGCCATGCTACTTCGATCCCGTGACTTTCAGCTGTTTAGGGACATCAAGAGGCAAGACACAGCTATATGCTTGATAATCAGTTAATGGATTCTAGTCCTGTATGCAGCTAAAGTAAGGGAAACTTAAGTTGTTTACTCTCTGTGTCCAAAGTGAGCTAAAACTAAAACAAAAATTTTAAAATGTTCACATACTGAGAGAGTAGCAAACACATAACACCTTCTTGTACTCTAGCATGTAACATCCTTAGTCCCCAAGAAGATCAGTGGTAAGTTTAAAATCCGGGATTCGATTCCAGGCGATGGTCATAATGCGGGAAATCCACTATGTGTTTTATGTTTAAAATACAAACAAACAGACAATACTCTTATGCTGGTCATATGGTAGAGATATGGATTTTGGAGTTGGCGAACTAGGTACAAATCGGTGTTATGCTAGAAATTATTATCCACACTTTAAGCTGCGGGTGCGTTATAAGAGTGACAGTCAATCCCTTAATGTGAGTGTTACTCTGCTGCTAAGTTACTGCCTTCATTCTGGTCAGTAGTTCAAAATTAGGGATTGCGACAAATAACCTTAGTAACTTTCCATAAATACAAAATTGTATTGATTGGCAGGTTTGTAATTCATTAAATCACAAAAAGACTGATAATAATGCTTGTACAAATCTTCTATTTATTGAGGGTCACTATATAGAGATTTTGTTTTATATATTTGTTTTGTGGATATGCACAACAAATATTGTATATTAATAATTTAACCTATTAATTTAAATTGTTTTATTTCTTTAACCAACTAACAATATTATTAAATTGAAAATATATAAATTATCTCAATTAACTGCCGTTTTTTCCCGTCATTGTTTTCCGTCTAGGGGTATTGTGTAACATACAACCTTCAGTAGTTATCTATCTGTATCACACTTAGTAAAAATTAAAGTTATCTTTATTGTGCCTTATGGTTGTACCGATAACCTCGAGGTTTGACAAGGAGCGAACACTCGAAACATCACCCAGTAGAAATGTTTTTCTGAGGTATTTTTCATATTATTCTTGCTCAGTTAATCACCCCTTTTGTCCTTCTTTTCTGAAACTTTTAGAATGAAAAAGGTTTAAAATTAAAGGGAATTTTTTTTTTTTTTAAGTGAAAAAAAAGGGTTTGGTTTTGTCGCCAATGGATGTCTGTAAATTGTAATCCGTGGATCTATATTTTTTCGGATTCCATAATTTGTAGTTCTGTTGAAGGTAAAATATTTGATTAAACATGTGAAGATTTTCGTTAATTAGGTTTATCCTACTTTTCAAACTCTTTATTCATATTGAATACAGTAGCACAATATCACTATCACTGTATAAGTAATAACTAATAGTTATATACATTTCTAAAGTAAAATACTAATTTTAATTTATTTCATTATAGTTACTTTATTTGCTATGAAGGAAACCGACTATAACTATAAATTATGTAGTACTAGTAGTGTAGGAATTGATTTTTTACCAAAACTGGCAAAAGATAAGTTTAACTTAGGCCTACACTTCTGACAATGGCCCTGTCGTGCAAATGTGACCAAGTTGGGCTTCTGTGTTTGAGCTCCTGTGAAGTAGGCTCATAATAAATTTAGTTTTTGATTAATTACTTGCTGCAATTACGTTTTGCTCTAAACGTGATTTAAGCCCCAAGTGGGACTTGTGTACATAAAACAGCATAAATTAAGACAAGTTCAAAGATGGGAAGGTATTACTCACTTAATCAGAAATATTTTGAGTTACTCCCATGTACTGTGTGTGACGATGTGGAGTCACAGATAAATAAACTGTATTTATTTTCTCACTCTGCTTTATTATTATGTTAATCCTGTGTTGTCGTCGTTAATTTTATATAAAATGATATCAGGGCATCGATTGTTACAGTTATGATTTGTGAAAGTGGAATAAAAACCTGGAGTGTAAACTTTAAATTTAATATCAGAAAAAGCAATGGCTTAAGCTACCAAACTGCAATATTTCAGTTACTTGTATGAAAATTTAAATAATACTTGCCCATAACATGTTATAATTTTTTTGTTTGTTTGTTTAATAAAAGACTGATTTAGGATGCTAGTTTTGTTAATTCATGCAGTAAGTTTAAGGCCTGATAAATATTCAAAGGATATAGGCTAGCTTTGAGTTTGGTTGTTATTGTTTTTTTAAAGTTCAGTGGATGGATGGCCTAAATAGCTACCAGGTCCCTTGTCCTTAAATTTTGTTATACTTATAAAATGGAGATCCATTAAAGCCAACTAAAAAAAAAAGTATTACACCAATTCTGGTGATGTAGAAATAAGATTACTTCACAAACATAATCTATTTTTATTTTTTCAAGTTTTTCTTTTTAATACATTGAATTAATTATCATAAAACACTTCTCCATTAGCTAAATTGTTGTAAGCTGTAGATACTTCTTTACTATGTCTTCCTGATTTCTGGTATGATGAGAGAATCTTGAACTGGATACATAAACAAGTAAGTTGAATTTTAATTTAAATTACTAAATTCAAGTAAAAATAATCCTGATGTTTCTTCTAGTTAATAATTAGTGATCTGAAAATTGAATGTGAAAATGAGCTATATAGGATACAGACATATATATGTAGCATTCTGAAAAAATTAATAAATTTTTATATGGTTTGATTTCATATACATTATTTGTATGTAATCAGAGCTGAGAAAGTAACATACAAATGCCAGTCTTGGTTAATAGCTGTTTTTTTTTAATTTCTAAAACAATTCTAGATAGCTATTTAAACTATACAAGTCAGTGTTTCTCAACCTGGGTGGTACTGCCCCTAGTGGACGTTTTTAAAATTCAGAAGGCAGTAAACTTTGAGAGGATGGTGGAGGGGCAGACAGAAAAGTTACAAGAGTTTCAAAGTTATATTTGTTAAAAATAAATCCTAAGAATTAGCTATTATTGCCTTACAATTTTCATTTTAATAAAATTTTAATGGTCTAAAAATTTATTAGAAAGGGGCTTGAGTGTTCATTATTTGCTGAATGTGGTGGTGTTCCAAAAAAAGATTGGGAAACACTGATATAAGTGATCCTACCTTATGTCAGTTGAAACTTTGAAAGCAATTTTATATGATGGTGCAATGTGTTTGGGGTTCTCATATTTATAACTATCATGAAATACCCATACTCCACTATGGGGTTCAGTAGCCCCCTCATGATTCACAGAGGCTCCAGTCAGGAATGGATCCAGACCTGTATGCTGACTGATACTTACACACCTTATGAAAAAGCAAAAGGAAACTACACCTCCATAGTGAAATAAAGCTTAAAATACATATTGTTATGTCATCTTAATGCTACAAATTTTTGGTTGATAAATACATATTCTAAAGCCTTTCTTATAATTTTTGATTTTTACTGATTTCTAGAAAACAATGTCCCCAAACAATGCTGACTGTTTTCCATAAAACAGTTTAAATTGATGTGGATACACTCCCACCAATGTACCACTCAAGCTCCTCCATTATCCCCAATTGCTTCTATAGCTACCCCAAGGGGTATCCACGCCTGAAAACCCTGTTAAGACACTCGCCCATGAAACCTATGCGTGTATGCTATGTTTGGTCTCTCTAGAATTTGAGTGAAGGTATGAACACTTTTAAACATGGTACCCTCAGGAACCTGAGAGGAGAGAGGTGATAACACAAACTCCAATGCCAAATTCAGGCTTGGTGATCCTGAAAACCTATTCCTAGACCCCATTATGCCTGGGTTATGCCATAATAAAAAAAAAAAAAAAAAACCCTGAGTCCACCTCCCTAGTTTGGTATTTTTAAGTACAAAATTCTGGGGAGAGTTTGGAAACAAATTCACAGACACAATATAAATTAAAATAAGATTACTTGATCTTTTAAAATGTGTAACTTTGTTTTAAGTTCTCAGCTGTATTTTCCAAAAGTTACCACTTCAAAGCATTTTGTGTATAATATTCCAGAGGAAACCAAAAAAAGAAACATTTCTGTTAAAAGTTCTAGTGTCCAGAAATTGTAGATTATGTGTCAGAATTGTATAATTTTTATTTCTGACTGAGAAAGTAGAAAAAAAAAAGGGGGGTGGGGTATTTCAAAAACTGCTTTATACATGTACATGAAAAATTATTTGTTTTTCTTTCTTTCATTCCCAATAATGAAACTGTATGTCTCATCTGTGATGATTCTTAAACTTTATATTCTGTTTTTGTTTTGCTAATAAATCGTTGTGTTAACCAGTGTTTGAACATTCTGATGAAAGGTAAATTATCAACTACTGTGTTATAAATGTGCTGTAGCCAAACGTATAACTTTTGGACAACGTAGTTTTTTATGTTTTATTGCCTTTGTTGATTCAAATGTATGAAATGACTTGGGAACAGATTCGTTACTGAAGATGTTTTAAACAAATACAAGAGATAAACTAGCAGTAATAATGCAAGGTGTAAAAGTGATAATCACACAATTTTGCTGTATATTGTTTACTGGAAAGAAAAGTATAACAAGTGGTACCATATTTTCCCACATTGTATTATTATTGGTGCCATTTTTTATCAGACTCTGTTTTAAATTGTTATTGATATTACTTACACTAAAGTCAAATAATAACATGGAATGTTTTAAATGTATAGATTACTTAAAATAGAAGACTGTTAAAAATAGCCTTAAACATTTACATGATTTAGAATATTAAAAAAAATTTGGTTTCAAAAGTTTAGCAAAACATAGGTTATTCATTTTATAATACCTTATAAAGATGTATAGATTCCTTATGACAGTTGCAGTCACAAACTTGAGGAGGATTTTCCACAAATTTGTGATGCTATGGCCAAAAAGAATGCTTCGGGGAGTTCTGTTGTTCGTTACCATAAAATTTCACAAATAGATGATGGTTTTGTAGATCTACAGGTGAGTTTCTACTACAAAATAAATAATGTTGTATTATTAATATTTACCCTTATTTTGACTTGTAAATAAATATTATTATAACTGATGAAATTTCAACTTTAACAACTTAATCTAGTTCACACAATAACAGCTGTTCATGCAGTTTGATAATGTAAAAGAACCTCAACCACCACTATATCTTTCTTATTCGACCTCTGTATCTATCTGTGATCCCAGCTCTGAAAAGGTGTCTGTCCTGAGTTAATGATTAACAATTAAATTTTCAAATTTTTTGTTAAATCTTAATTTTCATGACTTATTCATTAGCATTTTTCAGGAACTCTCTGCTTTTGGCACAGCCTTGGTCCTTCAAGCCAGTCATTTATCCTGTCTTTTATCATGCCTGACACACACAAAAAAAGATTGCAATACAATGTATCAAATACGTTTTGACAACTTATTCAATAACACGTATTCTGTGTAACATAACATTTACTAGCTGCTTTTAGGGTATGTCAAGAATGGTGTTCTAATGTGCCTTGCAGCAGTTAAATTGTTTTATAACCAAAATTTGATCTTTCTTTAAGATGTATTATTGCATATCCATTAAAACAATCCAAATCATTAGGATATAAAGTTAACTTTACATTTTTGATACAGCTGCCTCATCATGAAATGTTTACACAGGCATTACAAATCTGTATTGAAACAAGTCTTTATTTCAAGAAATATAGGCTAGAACTATCTTACAGAATATATATATATATATATAATTTATGAAACGAATATTTAGCATAGATTAATTCATCTATATTCTTAATAGAACATTAGGATATTAAGATAAATTGAAATGTAAAATACAGTTATACCATTCAGCGATATTACGTGAATCTCACTGGATGATAATTTATTTTAATTTCCAAAAATTACTGAAAAATACTGAAACATCTTATTTGGCTAATCTTTATACACTTACCTTCACTTTTATTGATTAAACAATGTCATAGTTTGATCAAACAATGTTATAATTTCAACAATTTTGTTATGCTACATGATTTAAAAGTGTTTTATTATATGAACAGATATATAAAAATAAGAAATATATCTTGAACTTACAGAAGCAGTCTGGCTAAAATTGCAAATTAATATGATTATGATACCTTTTAAATAACTTCATGGGTGAATGAAATGGAAATGCATATATTTATCAAGTGTATATATGTTGTAATGTTTTTGCAATTAACTTGGAGCTACCGTTCATTTTTAAGGTGAATATTTTATGCTTATATATATATATATATATATATAT